TATAAGATATTATTGCGTTATCTTGAAGCACTCAAAAAAGAAAATCATGGGACAGTGTATGAAGTTTCATCAAAACCCGTTGATGGCAAAGATTGAAAATTCACAGGGGTATTTTGGGCATTTGATCCGTACATTGAGGGACTCAATTATTGTCATCTTATTCTTAGCATTGATGGCACCCATTTATATAATAAATGCAAATGCATATTGCTTGTTGCAACTGGAGTAGATGCAAACTGTGGTTTATTTCCTTTGGTCATTGCAATGGTTGATGTTGAAAACACCAAAAATTGGTCAGGGTTTTTTGCATGTATTAGTTATCATATTCCTAGTGAGAGAGTGAGAACAATTACATTCATATTAAACAGATGAAAGGAATTCCAAGAGCACTGAAAAGACATTTTCCATCACCACATCAACATCACTATTACTTACGATATATTGGGGATAACTTCAAGAGGAAGCATGGACAAGTGCATCTCCAAAATCTTCATTAGAAAGATGTATGTGTAATGGAGAAATTAGTTTATGAGAAACTACGGGAGAAAATTAAGACCATTTCGCAAGTTGCACATGATTGGATTAAGACTAGTTTGGGTCTGAATGATGTTGAAAGGTGGGCCTTATGTGAAGATGGCGGGAAATAATTTTGTATGATGATCACAAACACTTCTGAGAGTTTCAATGATGTGCTTAAGGGAGATTCCAATATAGTCATTAGTTACAAAGATATTTTATAGATTTAATAGATTCTTCCTCAGACAACGTACACTTGGAGCAAATATCCTGTCGGTGTTGGCCCTAAAAGTTGAAGGCATATTAGTGGATCGGATTACTTATGCTCAATCATGTCGTGTTGTTAGATATAATTTTAATGAATGGAAGGTCATTGAGGGATTCTCACATAAAGAAAGTCTCTCTTACAAAGTCAATATACTTGTGGATCATACTTGTACATGCACTTGCAATATACCACAATTGCAAAGGCTTCATTGTGCCCATGTTGTAGCAACTTGTTCGGATTTAAGGGGGTGTCAGGATATTACACTATAAATTCGCCGCAAAGTGGTATTCAACTTATAACTACTAACAAACATACAAGGAGTGCTTTCTTCCTCCATACGATAGTCAACATTAGACACAAAGTAGGGTCACAAATCTTACCTCCTATGTATCAGAGAACAGCTGGGTGACCTTGTTCCATACGAAATAGAAATATTATGGACAAAGGAAGAGAAGGAGTTAGGAAGAAAAAATAGGTGTAGTCGTTGCAATCAATCGGGCTACAACAAAAATAGTTGTCCAACTAGACTTAGGTGTTGATTATTTTGGGCTTGATTGTATGGAATATAACCTATTCCTTTCAGTACTCTTGTTATGATATATAACTTTTTCCATTAAATCTTGAATGGAATATCTATGTTGTGTCTTATATAACCTACTCCTATGAGTACTCTTATTATGATATATTACTTTTTTGTAATAAATGTTGATTAAACTATTATTTTCAGTACTCTTGCTATGATATATAACGTTTTTTTCATTGAATCTTGAATGGAATATCTATGTTGTGTCTTATAATGGAATAATCCTTGTAGTGAGCTCTTTATATATCGATATAAGCTACTCCTTGTGCATGTTTCATTTTTAGTTTCCTTTGTATGCTTTGTATTGTTTAGTTTTGATTGAGTACATATGATTAAGTTGTTCAATTGGAAAATCTAATATATTACATTTTAAATTTAGATAGATACACTATGAAACCCTGAACTGATCCAAGGTCATGTACTATACCTTCAGACCTGTCATCGTTCACAAAGATTGGATTACGATAGGTAAAATAAATAAGTACATATTTTCTATTTTTGCGTGAATTTATATTTGTGTATTCTAAAAGATTTTCTTAATTTGAATTAATGTGCAAGACGTACCAGAGATCAACAAAGTTGATCATTCACAGAGTCATTCAGGTTGGGAGATGAAGGATGATTGATTACTGCAGTTGGCTAGTCAGACAGGTTTTTTGGAGTGTTCTTCAATGATATGGATTAGGCTTGACTAGGCACTTATTCATGCTCTAATTGATAGGTGAAGGCCAGAAACCAACACCTTTTATATGCATATAGGAGAGTATACCATTACACTTTCGGACGTAGCCATCATACTTGGACTTCGGATTGATGGCCCTGTTGTTATGGGCACGAATGACTATAATTGGGAGGATGTATGTGTGACACTTCTTGGGCGGGTTACTCATTTGAGGAGTGGTGCAATGAAGCTATTATGGCTTTAGGAGGTATTTATGGGAGGTATACCTATTGACACCACAAAGGAGATGATTTAGTATATTGCTCATGCTTATATATTATACATGATAGCTATAGCTTATTCCCTGATGCAAGCAAGAATCTTGTACATGCACGATGGCTAACCCTACTTGAGGATTTGAGGTGTGTGGCACTGTATCATGGTGTAGTACTAGCCATGGTTTCCTTGATGAAAAATAAGAATTTCAAGTGGTGCATGACATTGCTACAGGTTTGGTTGTAGGAACACATGTATTGGACGACCTAATTCACAGATGCCCCGCAATCTATAGGGTCAGTTTCCATTGGGATGCAGGTATATTAATGTACTATTTACAAGTAATTTTATTCTTAGTTTTATTCATATTGAATTTGTTCTGATATCTTTTTTATATCAAATAGATATAATGTGAGGAGGTCGTCCTACAAAACCTCGACTAGACATACTGAGTTTTATAGAAATAAGCTAGATATCGTGCAACACAAATAGGGAAAATAAGACACAATTCAATATTTATATGCAAAATCTTTTGTAGATGCTAATACATGTTTTTTAAAAATAATTTTTTAGTTCAAGTGGACGCCATATGATCCGGAAGTTCTTGATTCCCTTACACCTATTTACAGAAAGAGCACTAATTTGTGGAGGGCTAAAGTCCTATTGATCTTTTTTGAGATTATAGAGATTCATGTGTCGGATCGTATTTTGTGACAATTTAATCTAGAATGTGTCGAATCCTATTGAGCAAATCGATCACATGCATCGAATAACATCAAATCATGTGGACTGGAGGTGATACCGTGAATCCTACATAATCAGGTGAAATGATAGGTGGAATCTTATAGATTATGAGAGAAATTCAATGAGTTATAACGAGTATATGTGTTGGTATTAGGGGACATCACACGCAAATGGATCGTATGTGATCCACACCAAACAACTAGATTCATACCATACCCCGTCAAGTACTTACATCCTGAGGTTCATGATCGAGAGAGATTATGAAAGTTTTTAAACTCATTTAAAAAAAATCTTTTGAAATTATATTACTTGCTAAGCTGTGTATATACTGATTAAATTGCAAATCCATGCATTTGATGGGATTAAGGAAGACATAAATGAGAGTACTACTGAGATTCAGGATCCAAAAACAATATCAGTATTCAATGAGATTAGATAGAGAATAGCGAATGTGTTCTATATGAATCACACTGACGAGTTTGAAGGATGCAATGATAGGACACGTCAATTTTTACAGGTGTACATGCAAAAATGTAAGACGGTTTCTAGTGCGGCGTGTGATGATGGAGCCGACACTTCTCACCCTCATACACAACTAGATAGTTAGATCATCGAGGCTCATGATCACAGATGTCAGGTGCAATGATTGGGGGGGATGAGGTAAGAGAAGGGGTAAGAGAAGGAGAGGAAGGAGGGGAAGACTTTAGGATGTATGTGATTTTTTTATATGATATGATGTTTATTTTCTGAATCTTGTGAATATATATGGTTAGATTGTGGTTGGACTGTTCGAAATTATTACTTGTGTGGATGGATTATATATGTGGTTGGAATTTTGTGTATATCGTTGGAATTTCGTGTATATATGTGGTTGAAATTTCATGCATGTGGTTGCAATATTCTATATATGTAATAGGTTGTGAATGACATAGATAACTTGCTATGCATGTATGAGTATGCATGTCCCACAACTTCCCAGGATTCTAAATACCGTGAAGTTGCAGTGTCAATTTCACAGAGTAATTCGACCTCTCCTAACGCTGATCATCTCCACTGGATTCAGAATCTCGTGGAGTTTGTGTTAATCAAACTCCATGAGGTTCAGAATCTTGTGGAGTTTAGTATAGTTGTTAACTTCGTCCTAAACTACACGGGATTCTCAATTCTATATAATTTTCTATACTTATTTCGCATTTTAACCCAGTTTTAGCTATAAGTGTAAAGTAGGTCGAAAATGCTAAATAAATTTTACATATGATAGAAAATGAAAATTTATCCGCAGCAGTAATATGCTTCTACACACACAAAGCTCAAGGAAAATTTTAACATGTGTGAGCAGTCAACAAAGATTGTTCATGCCGCACACTGAAAATTAAAAGGGAGGCCACCACCCACCCTAATTGCATCCAGCTCAAGCTAAAGGCTTTAAAGGTGTCTGTAGGGCCCTCTCCAATCCCTAGAAGTGATACACTGTCATCCCGCAACAACAAAAAAAGGAAAAAGCAATTGAAGATATGGCATCCACAACTGCATATACAATAACATTTGTGCAAAAGAGGGAATGAATATATCTGAAGAAAGAACCACATAACATCAAGGCACAAATAAGAAAATACTATTTATTTGTACAAAAAAGAGATTTCGTGTAACATCTTTTTGAAAACACTCCTGCATAGGAGTATAATGTTTTGAACCAAATAAGGACAGTTAAAATTTCCAAACCAGCCCCGCCGAAAATAGTTTAGAACATTCTGCTTGTATGAAGAAATATGAATGGCTCAAAAGAACACAATTATCCAGAGAACATCAAGATACATGTAAGAAAATACAATATAGTTGTAGAAAAGAGAGGACGAATATATCTGACAAATAACACACAGAACATCAAGACACAAGAAAATACAATACCTCTGATACTTAAAAGAGAATCTGAAGAAAGAACTCACAGAACATCAAGACACATAACAAAGTAAATACATTTGTACAAAACAGGGAATATATCTGAAGAAAGAACATCAAGACGCTTATAAAGCCATATATCAGTTACAACTCTCTACTTCTTACATTAATCCAAAGCTGATCATATTTGTTGCCTACCAACATTCATTAACAATATCTTCTAACTCCAATCAACAAAAGAACACACAATCATACCAACAACTAGAATTCAGAAAATTAAAAAACCAAATGAGTAGTTACACAAACTGGCAGCAAACCCTTTCATTGCCACCCCTTGAGAATTAGCATTAGGAAATCGAAGCATAGTTGGTGCAACGATCCCTTGAGCATGGAAGGCAGCACCCTGTAAAAAAACGAAGAAACTCCCACTCCATGAGGCATTGTGAAGTAATGAACCCAATCAACGACCTAAACAAATTCTCCGAATTCCTTCAGTTCAGTTACTGTTAATTGAGTTAGTCAGCTCAGAAAAAAGAACTACGACTATAAACAACTGAATTCCCTTCTTCTAGTACTCCTATATAACCCTAGCTTCAAACCTCCAACCTCCACAAGACATTATCAGTGATCCGGCCGTCAGTCTTCTCTATAGCTGCAACCTTAGCCCGATGACTACCTAACATTGTGGATTTCCCCTTTTCAGCTTGAGGAAGCTGACAGATTTCACTTACTGAGCCACTTTTTATATCAGCCGGAGGAATGAAGCAATCCAATGAAAGACCAGGAACATTGAATGCCACCTCCTCTATAGTCCAAACCTCCTCCATTCTATTCCTTGTGTGACTCATAGGAACCTCACCAAATCTGAAAAGGGTCACAACAGAGCGACCAGAATGCGCAATCATTACACCCTCAACCGGACGATAATCATCAAGGAAGGAGTTGATGGTGGTCTCCCAATATAAAGCATCACCACCGGTAATTGATTGTGTTCGAGTCAACTGCGAGTCCTCAAGATGGATGAGAAGCCCAGTTCTCTGGCTGAAATACCCAAACATGAAGTGCCTTATGATCTCAGCACCGCCTTCACTTCTAGCCTTTAGAGTATGAGGGTCTGCAGAAAGCTTGAGGATAAAGCAATCCTCCCCATTAACCTTCTTCTCTCCAATGCACTGTGCATTAGCAAACATGCTTGCCGTGGTGAATGGATCCAGACCCTGGTCAGAAAAGTATAGTTGAGCTTTAGTCAAGGAGATCACACTTTATTCGATAAGATAATTTGCACAGTTGCATGCAATATGTACCACAGAAAATTTAACCATAAATCTATTGTTTGGATATCTACATTCTTATGTTAGAAAATATATTTCATAAGGATGAATCAAATTACAAACTATTTATCAATTTAAGACTCAACCTTCACCATAAAGCAATTATATTTATTAGATAATATTAAACTAAGAAGCTATTGGTATGCTGCAATGTAAATGCAGAAAATATTGCATACAAAAAATGATGCATGCAATATGTACCACAGAAAATTTAACCATAAATCTATTGTTTGGATATCTACATTCTTATGTTAGAAAATATATTTCATGTCCAAATCCATCTTTTAGTTTTTTTTCAAAAACCTGTTACATTTTCATCTTTTGTTGTCGGAAACATATTTCCATTGCAAGTAGTACCATTGGAAATAGAAATTTTACTCCATTTGTTGTTCCAGCTCTATTTCATGTCAACCAAGCAGCCCTTAAACAGCCACATATGAAGGCAAAACGGCTAAATAAAGAATGTCTTCAAAAAATCAGAAGAAAGACTACAATTCATTAAAGGGGTCACTAAATGGTTAAGATTAAGGCTCAATCACTACGGTCAACATCATTATCAAATCAATAACCTACAAGCTTCTTCATTCATAGTTCAATTGTATGATACCTGAAGTGCTCTTCGAAGTGGTCTAACAGGACCTTTAGCAGCATGAGCACCATGCCACGGAGTATGCCTCCACACAAGCTTGCCATTGCATCCAGCGTGGAACTTGCTTCCACCAACAGCAAGCTCAACATACCACATCTCAGGAGCCATTTTCCAAAGCACAAACCTTCCAGATTCCGTAGTCTTTGAAGCATTCTTCATGACTTTAGTTGCTGTCTCGAAATCTGAGGCGATCATTTTGACCTTTCCCATTGCATATGAGTTTCGGATTGAGCTCTGGAACTTTAGTCCTCCTGACGCTGCAATGTACTGCTGGAGTATGTACTGGGCAGAGGAGGTCTCCTGTGAAATTGAAAAAGGGGTAGAAGATAGAAGAACTATATTGCATTAAATCCATGAAAAAAAAATGAAGGGAGTACTTCTAGCTTGGCTGTAAAACTGTTTCCACACAAATCTAACTTGCCAAATTAACATGAGAAAAAAATTATATATCAAGAGACAGTATATATTGCCTGGATATTGAAACGGAGTAAAATTTAATTCAAGTGTGAGGATGTAATGGCCACCAAGGAATCAAATTTAACAATAGACAAACCAAATTATATGATAAAAGACCCATTACTCAAAAATAAATATAGTATGACCTCCAAATAGAAACAACAGAAAAATAAATAAATAAACAAATTGCATAGAGAAACACGTTATCTTCACTTGGAGATAGAAATTATATTAAATTAAAAACACAGTCCATCTTCCCCAAATCTTTAATGCAGCAGAAAATCCAGTGCACAAATTATCCATCAAGCGCTGAATGAAATAAACCGTAATTTAACATGCAAACTAAAAAAAAATGTACATGCTGAAAACTTGAAGATAGGAGCACATGAGTACATGTATTACATCAAATCAATGCAAAACCCACTAAACGCAAGAAACCCATCAAGCGTTCAACCTTCGTAACCTATGCCTTGAAGGTAAAAATCATTAAACCCCCAAATTAGAAGTACCCAGATGTAAATTAACAGAAAACCCTCATCGATTCAATTCACGCATTTCCTCAAACAGCTAACAAGCAAAAAATTTTAAAGAACCCAAGAAGAGAGAGAGAGCTCACAATGGGAGTATCCTTAATACTAAGATAGGGAAGCGGCTCTCCGTAGCTAACGTGCACCGGCGCCAGTGGGGCCCCCATGACACCAAGCAACAGCCTCGGTTCCGAAGCGGCGGTGACCCGATCCAGCCAAGAACGCAACTCCAGTTCCCTTCTCGGATTCCCGCCATCACCGACCTCACCCGGATCCGGACCCTCCATCAATGGCGCCAAGTTACCAAATCTTGGCACCGGAGGGTCCAATAGCCCGCTAATTTGCTTGTGGGCCCCCTTCCAGCGGCGCTGGAAGAAGCCCGTCAATGCCGACGAACTTCGAACTGGGCTCTCCGACCGTGAACGTGAACGAGACCTCGCCGGCGAGAGACCGCGAGCTACTGCTGAGAAAAAACCTTGCTTTTTCTCCATTTTGGCGTTTTTTGCAATTTTGGGAAAGAGAGGGGGAGAGAGTAAAAAAGAAAGTTGGAGGCGCGAATTGCGAGTGGGAGAGAATGTGAGAGGTTGTTGTTGGAGAAAGACGCGGTGGGGTGTGGTCACCGCCGGTGAGCGTAAGCTTCGGGGGAGCGAACGGGGGATGTACGGCGCCGTTATGGAAAGTTCCAGGGGCTGGATTTATTTAACGGGTTTGTGGGGCTCCATTGACGGAAATCTGACGGCTGGATAATTTGAGAGGACTAATTATGGTAATTTTTTAATTAAAGGATGATTAATAATTGGTAAGGTATATTACCCACAAAGAACCACCATAATTCATCTTTACCCCAAAATTTTAAATTTCAACCCGACTTAGAGTGGGACCCACATGGTCTATGTTCATCTTACAAATGAGTATGGGCCCACGCGCAGTCGTTTGGTGGGGCCGAACGCATTAGAAACCAAAATGAGATAGGAGACTGTTTTCCAAGGATGAATTTGCATAGATACATCACCAATCTGTGTGAAAATATTTACAAGTTGATCTTATCGAAGGAAAAATTGTTCATTTTCAAACTGATAGAAAAAATATAGTAAAGTTTATCAGCTAAATTTTAACAGTTAATTATCTACAATAACCTAAAGTTAATATTAATTTAATAATTTCATCTTAACATAATAACGATGTGATATGTAACAATAAAAAAAGAGAGGAAAGATAAGAAGAAAATTAATGTAAACCGGAGAGGATTCATGATATTTCTTTTAAGTTGTTTTATTTTTATTTTTTATGGATTGATTAGATTTAACTTATTCCTTAGACACCTATGTTATTTTCTGAGAATCTTTAATAAAGTAGGATAGTTTTGGCAAAATTTATCTTCTTCTTTAATTTTTTTTATTTGTTTATTTATAGCTCGCCTGTAGAAAAAGCCAGCTTGAAATTGGATTGGATGGGATTGACTACTCTGATTAACGTGTGAGTCAACACATGCTGAAAAGTTTTTGTTGATGCTCGTGCAGGGCACATGGGAGATATACGCAAGAAAAGTATTCATCATCCGTCACGTGATATCTACCTAGCAATGTGATGTGTAGATGTTAATTAGGTTGTCAATGCTATGAATAATCCTCCTTTAACGGGTTAATTAGATAGTTGGTCATTGTATTTATCTCTTAATTAGACCTTCATCTCTATGTTTAATTGCTTACATGACCGGTCATGTAATTAAACACTAATTAGATTGCTACTCAATTCCGACGTCTTTTGTCAATTTAAGTTGTACATTTTCGTTCATTTTTAAGCAATACAACTAACTCAATATGTCACAAGTTAGTATTTTTTTAAGAATAAATTATCAAAGGCAATATATAATTACCTAATACAAGTTGCCCGGCATGTCATAAATTTTCATATTCATAAGTGATTAAGATATTACATATAAGAATTAATGTATTATGTCAATGATAAAGACTTGTAAGTGAGCGCGCCAAAATTTGTTATGTTAATTGACAAAAAGAACTAAAAGTGACTAGTAATCAACTAGTATTTAGTTACATGATTGATCATACAAGTAATTAAAACATAGGTACGAAGGTCCAATAAGAAGATGAATACAGTGAAAAATTATCCAATTAACCCCTATGCATCTGCTTCCAGTTTTACTTCAAGACAAATATGAATATTATAGGTATGAATATGAATTACGATGGTAGCAAACTATGTTAGTTGTAAAATTAAGGAGACAGAAATTCTGAGGCGTGAAACACTTTCCTTAAAGAAATATTTGCCCCCACTTGATATTCAAAGTTGCTTCGAGTTAATGCAAATTTTCTTCCCAGGATACAACAGAAAATAAAAATTCCAGTAAGCAAATCTGGAATTTTCCTTAATTCGTTGTGAAACAAGTTTGTAATATTGCAGATGTTTTTGGTAGAAAAGATTCAGAAAAAGAAATTGTTAATAGATATCTGAAAACATAAACTATTTATAGGTTTTGAAAAGGTGCTTCCAACAGTCACAACTTTTTAAAAACACCCCTTGGAGCAAACAGCCACTTTTCAACAGTCACTTGTCTTTTCATAATTTTTTTAAAATTCAAAATAACTTTTTAAAAAAAATATATTTAATATATATAAAAAATAGAACATTTAAGCGGCAGCGGCAAGCGTGCAAAGTGCTAAGTGCGTCTAATAATCGCGTCAAAATCGCGCATTATTCGCGCTACCCGCACGCGGGTTTAGAAACCTACACTTTGATCCATTATTCAAAGCTCAATAAGCATTCAATGCTTTTAAACCTCTAAAAGAATGTTCAAAATTCCAATGTGGGACTATCTTGTTTTTTACAAACAAATACTAACAATCCCCCACTTTGTTTGAAAAAACATTTTAATAGTATTATATTTAAAAATAATCTGCAATATGTACAAAATGAGATAAGTATACATATGTAAAGGTATCTTTCGATTTAAACCTAACTCTTTAAGGAACAAACCTTTAGCTCTTTTAAGAAGCGGCACCACTTCTAAGTTCATATAGGTGAAACGTCTACAATGTGTTTTCCATTACTTTAAACACACAACAATAATGTATTAGACTTTCATTAAGAGCATAACTCATCCTCTTATTCCGTAATGGACGATATTGACATTATCTTTTAGGGCTTAATGCGTCAATATCAATCAATCACTTTCAGAAACTTGTTATTACCCATTTAAACCATTTAACCAGTTTAGTTCTAGTAAATGGTTGGGTTACCATTCCTGGTGATTTTAAATATAAGGTTTCAGCCCCATTTCACTTGATGTCATCTTTACTACCTCTCTTGCTAGAGGTTTTGTAAATGGATCAGCCAAATTTTTATTTGTCTTGACATAGACAATAGTTATGACACTATCTTGTATCAAGTGTCTCACATATTCATGTCTTAGACTTATGTGTCTAGACTTACCATTATATGTACAATTATAAGCCCTTGACAAAGTGGCTTGACTATCACAATAGATAGAGATAGGAGGCATTGGACTCGGCCATAACTTAATATCTAGCAATAAGTTCCTAATCCATTCAGCCTCTTTATCCGTTGCTGCTAAAGCAATGAATTCAGATTCCATGGTAGAGTGTGAGATACATGTTTGTTTCTTGTTTGCCCAAGAAACTGCTCCTCCACCAAGTGTAAAAACCATTCCAGAAGTGGATTGGTTGTCTCCAACACTAGTCATCCGGCTTGCATCGGTGTATCCCTCTAATACAGCCGGATAATCATTATAGAACAAACACAGATTTTTGGTTTTCTTTAAATATCCAAAAATCCTGGAAATGCTTTTCCAATGTTCTACACTTGGATTACTAGTGTATCTACTTAATTTGCATACATCAAATGCAATATCAGGTCTAGTACAATGCATGTCATACATTAAAGAACCAATTGCACTAGCATACTCAAGTTGTGCTACAGCTCTACCAGAATTGGCAGTAAATTTGACACTGGGATCGAAAGGAGTGTTAACTTCTTTAAAACCAATATGATTAAATTTATTTACTATTTTTTCAATATAATGTGATTGGCTTAAAGAAAAACCCCCACTATGTTTTCTAACTTTAATCCCTAAAATAGTATCCGCTTCTCCTAAATCTTTCATTTTAAACATAGAAGATAGATACTCTTTAGTCTCATTTATACCAATCATATTAGTGCCGAATATTAACATGTCATCCACATACAAGCAGACAAGCACACCATAATTATCAGTGAATTTAGAATAAATACACTTATCAGCACTATTATGTTTGAAACCATAAGATAGAATAACAGAATCAAACTTTTCATGCCATTGTTTTGGTGCTTGTTTAAGACCATAAAGAGATTTAATTAGTTTACATACTTTTCTTTCATTTCCTGGAAGAATGAAACCTTCCGGTTGTTCCATGTAAACCTCCTCATTTAAATCTCCATTTAAAAAAGCAGTCTTGACATCCATTTGATGCACAAATAACTTATGTATAGATGCCAAAGCAATAAGAATTCTAATAGATGTTATACGTGCGACAGGTGCATATGTATCAAAATAATCTATGCCTTCTTTTTGTCTAAACCCTTTGGCTACTAATCTAGCCTTAAAAGCTTGAACAGAACCATCAGAATGATATTTTCTTCTAAAAACCCATTTACATCCTATTGGCTTTGATCCTTGAGGTAAATCTACTAAAATCCAAGTACTATTTCCCATTATAGAATCCATTTCATCATTGACAGCTTCTTTCCAAAATGAAGCATCTCTAGATGACATTGCTTCTATAAAGGTTTTAGGATCATCATCTGGATTAAAACTTATAGGATGTTTATTTAAAACATTATTATTCCTATCACCTTCAACAAGAAAAATAATTTGTTCAGGAGAAATAAAATCTGAAGGTAAAGATTTCTCTTTTCTTGCTCTAGTACTTCTTCTTGGCTCTGATGTTTCTTTAGATGTATTCGTTTCCTTAGCATGAAAATCAGAACTAGAAAAATTATTAGAGTTAAGCAGAATAGGAACATTTTCAACATTTTCAGAATCTACAGAAAATTTATTTTCAAAGAATTCAACATCTCTAGATTCAACAATAGTATTAGAAGATAAATCAAGTAGTCTATATGCTTTGCTATTTTCAGCATATCCGACAAAAACACTTTTAAAGGCTCTAGGTCCAAGTTTTGTTCTTTTAGGATCAGGAACTCTATAATAAGCCAAACACCCCCACACTTTAAAATATGACAGATTAGGCTTTCTACCTTTCCATAACTCATAAGGGCTTATATTTGACTTTTTAGAGGGAATCCTATTATGAATATAACATGCTGTGTACAAAGCTTCTCCCCATAAATTTAAAGGTAACTTAGCATTATTAAGCATACAATTTATCATTTCTTGTAAAGTTCTATTTTTTCTTTCGGCTAAACCATTCTGTTGGGGAGTATAAGGTGCTGTACATTGATGAATAATGCCATGTTCTTCACAAAAAGTATTAAAATTATCAGAAAAATATTCACCACCTCTATCAGAACGTAATACTTTAATTTTCCTTTCA